GAACCGGTGGGCGGACCAGGTCCGCTGCAGCAACAGAGGGGGTGGCCACGTGTGACAGGGTGATGTCAGACATCGCAGAGGCGTTACTGTCGGGGCGCCCACTGGCAGTGCGGCGACACAGTGACAGGTCACCACGGCGCCCCGGGCTCACGGCCGATTGACCCACATTTCACCCCGGATGGAACAGGGGCGGGCCTGGTGGTACGGGTCGGATACGGCTGCTCACTGGCGCGAACTGGTACCGGTAATAGGGCGTTACTATTTAATGTGACGCATTGTAGCGGTAATGTCCGGGCAGCTAGACAATTAGACATTATCAAAAGAACGCGTTATCGTAGATGCGATCACGCCCTGCATAGTTTATTACTGGGGCTGTTTTCAGCCTGCTAACGTACCTGCTGTCTTATGTTTGGGGTGCGGCTTTAAAGCGGCGGCTGGTCGATACCGTCAGTGAGTTATTTCCAGCAGAGATGGGTGCAACGTGGCGGTGTGGATCGGTAAAACTGGCGAAGAACGCTTGTGACTGATGGGGAGACATTACGCGCGGGATTCGACAGTGAAAAACGTGTTTGATTTGGAATCAATGTGCTGTGCATCACAAGCTTTGCTGCCAGCTAGCCGGTTTATGTACAAAGCTGGCTGGAATATGTCGCTTGATGATCTGCACATCCGAGGAAACATTGAACAATCTCAAAGCTGGGCAAGCTGGCAAACTTCCAGGTCAAGCAAAGTGAGACGCATGTGGATTATGCCGAGATGAGTAAGGATGGGCGTATAAAGTGCGGCATGAGCCAGGCACGAGCATTTCACAGTTTGGGTGAACATGACGGAACGGATGAAAAGTCGCCTGGCCTGACGAGAATCGGCGTTCCGGCGAACAAGTTGTCTGTCACTTGCTAACCCTGGTCCCCGTGCGGTCAGCAGGTGTGTTGTCAGTCTAACTTCCTGAGTCTGAGGACTGACGTTGCAGTCTGAGTACGTGTCCGAGTCCGTTATTCTTAGCATAGTATGAGTCATTAAATATTGATCCTGGATGCACTCATCTCTTACGGGATCGCGTAACATAGCTCGTATCATATTTTCAAGCCAACAAGTCGTGAAGTGTAAACACTGTAACCAGCAGGCCTACTGCTAACCCAGGTTGTTTTAGCTGGAACCTAGCGATAGCCTTACTAGACATCCTGCTAGCCAACGTTGATTCTGTATCGCATGATATGTAAATGCGGAGTGACTTTAAGACGTTTCAGTGGCCGACGCTTAGTCTTAATCATCGAACCAAAACTGATTCAGTCTGGCCAATTCCAGCCAAATGTTACCCGAATTAACCAAAACAGGCGTGACATATACAAATCAGCACAGCTCTACGGGCATGGGAATACCCGCTGATAGCCTCATTATTGAGACGAACTCTTGCATGTCTTGCGTTATTAAAATGGGCCATTCAGCCCAAGTCCCACTGCGGGTCCTGACATTTGGAATCTAAACCGGAACCCCAGCCCAAATACATGCTTTTTCAAAGTGGGCGAGTCAGAATGGCCCATTAATCTGTGACAGGGTTTCATCCACTTGAATTCATCCGTGAGAAGGACTCCGTGCCCCAAAAGGTCATGAGTCCGAGTCAAATCAGAGTCCAGCCGGACCACGCATGAATGCGGGGGCGCGCAAGTCCGCCGCACCCCGAGGCCTGCTAGCAGGATCAGATCGGTCAGGCGTATGGCGGTAAACTTCAGAGGTCTGGAACTGTCCAGCATGGCCTCTAATGGTTCTCAGCCCCATGCCTCAGCTCGTTGCGCTCATAGTTTAATATATTTTAAAAGCCAATCGACCGTTGATGTATCGGCGGTAATCGGCGGTGCTGCAGAGTATGTAGACCACACGTTTCATGACGCTAACGGTACTTTTCGTGGGCGCGCATATACAGTCGGAAAGATTCACGGTAGCAAGAACAAAAAGGAACTGAAAACGCGAATTTACAGCTGCAAATTAAGCAAAAACATTTGCTGACCGTGGTTCTGGTAGCCGCTCTTCTTAACTACTAAAATCACCTGCTTCCAACTGTTTTTAACAGCTATTTGACGTAATACTTTCCGCGATCTTTAACGTGGACGATGATGACTGTCACTGAAGCCATGGACTTAAAACCCAAATATATAAGAAATACCGCACAACAGTGAGGGTGCAAGATTATATTTGTGAGCCCACATTAAGTTGTGCGTCCGTCCATTTTTCCACGCGACACCATCGCCGAAATTCCTTTTCCCGAGAATGTTGGGGATGCTTCCGCACCTCTAGTAAGCAGTCAACTTCCACAACACGTGATCGAATGCACCGTTGCCGTTGTTGGAATGTCGTGTTTTCTTAAAGCCTGCATGGTCCATCAGCATTTCGAGCGCATCCACGAGCTCATTGTGTAAATCAGCCTTGGTGCAAAAACAAACCCGCCACCGACGTACTGTAAAGACACAACTCTCCCCAAAGACGCAGATTGCGCGCCATAACGGTGTACTCGTATACACGGAATGCCTAGATGCAAAGCCTTCAAGATTAATTTTCATCCCAAAATATCTGCAAGGTAAGTCTGTGTTGCTAATGTGTTGTCGATCCAAGCCTACCTCAGTGAACTGTTTCAGTCATGCATGTACAGCCTTTGTTACAGGAATTCACGTGTGTTTAGCAAACTCCATCTCCAATTGCTCCAATTGCACAAGGCTGCATGCCCGTGACCACAAGGCTGCATGCCCGTGACCACAAGGCTGCATGCCCGTGACCACAAGGCTGCATGCCCGTGACCACAAGGCAGCATGCCCGTGACCACAAGGCTGCGTGCCCGTGACCACAAGGCTGCGTGCCCGTGACCACAAGGCTGCATGCCCGTGACCACAAGGCTGCATGCCCGTGACCACAAGGCTGCGTGCCCGTGACCACAAGGCTGCATGCCTGTGATTACATAACTATCACTGATGAAACCGAAATCACTCGGCGGGCCCATTTCAAGAGTTATTTCAGCCGCACGACACTTGCGCACATCCGCAGTCGAGATTCAGCAAGAGCACGATTGGGAAGCCATGGTCGAGCGGGGTCTTTCCCACCACACGCTGGCTCGTTTCGCCCAAGGCCTGCCAGGTTCAGGCCGTGCAGTGTGAAAAACAGGCCCAGTGTTTGCCGCGATCAACTGGGAACAAATGCCGACGCGTTTGTGCTCCCGTGATTTGGCGTGGAATGAGCGGCCGCAGCGACGGGATAGGTCGAGTGGGGACATGATGTGGCGGCTACAGCGACGGGATAGGTCGGGTGGGGGCATGATGTGGCGGCCACAGCGACGGGATAGGTCGGGTGGGGGCATGATGTGGCGGCCACAGCGACGGGATAAGCCTGGTGGGGGCATGATGTGGCAGCCGCGGCGACGGGATAGGTCGGATGAGAGCATGATGTGGCGGCCACAGCGACGGGATAGGCCTGGTGGGGGCATGACGTGGCAGCTGCGGCGACGGGATAGATCGGGTGGGAGCATGATGTGGCGGCCGCAGCGACGGGATAGGCCTGGTGGGGGGCATGATGTGGCAGCCGCGGCGACGGATAGGTCGGGTGGGAGCATGATGTGGCGGCCGCAGCGACGGGATAGGTCGAGTGGGGGCATGATGTGGCGGCCACAGCAATGGGATAGGTCGGGTGGGGGCATGATGTGACGGCCAGCCTGTCGTTGGTATTTTGAGACTGAGACAAGTTGTAACGAACGACCGCCAGCTGTTATCTGCGACACCTGGATGGAAGAAGGCATAGTTCCAGCCTGTTTCCCACTATTCAAAATATGTGTTCTCAGTAAAATTCCATTTAAAACGCAGACTGGTCAAGTGGCTCTTCTTGCAGTTTCCCAGAGTACAGGAACTCATTAAACACAAGGTAAAGTCACGCCGTTGTGCTAGGTTCCGGCTGGTGCCGCGGGATCTCTGTCCATTCTAGTCAACTGCTTGCTCATTGTCTCCGAAGGCGTTGCTTTTTCAGAGCTGACAAGCCCACACGCAAGTAGCGCTAGCACAACTCTCCCAGGCCAGCCTTTTGCTATTCATCTGGGAGCTATGTGTTTTACGGACTTGCTGCTCAACATGTATTAAACAGGACGCGCGCCGCGGCCCCCGGGAGTCGCGGCCGCAGCAGAATGATTGCAGCATACGAGTTGCTCTGAATATACACGCACAAACACACTATACACACTCACACGGGACGTGGGGTGCTCCCTGAGGATGACATGTGATAATGATGACCGTGACTATGACCTGGCTGGCCCATTTCTTAGCGACGTCATTCACCACGGAGTAGGGAGTAAACAGTTTTTCAGACAATGACATCAAGTCGAATCACGCAAACAGCTCGTTGCGTAAATTACGTAAAACGATGCCACAGCAATTGCAGAAATTAGATGACGACTTGGTCTTAGTTCGTTCAAAGGGCTTGAGCTGTGCCAATAGAAATGGAAGGTGCATTGCCCTTGATCAGCCAAACCATTCACAACCGTCAGCTCATAGGTGGACATGTGCATGGTTTCCAAGCAACGATCCCAGATTACAAAGCTTCCTTTCAGAAAATTCCGAAATCACCCTGGACCCCGGAGGATCTTGCAATAGCATTCCAGAAAATATACAGGATTCTGAGAACCCTTCTACAAAATGTGAAAGGGGATACTGGATCCTAGAACATTCAGAAAGACCTGGGATCCAGGGTTCAGTGGTCCGGGATCCAAGATTCAGTGGCCCGGGATCCAGGACTCAGAGATCCAATCCTAGCATCTCGTTTTGGATCTCAGCACGATCGCAGCGACGGAGTTTGTTATCCCACAAACCCCAGTTTTTGTAGAGGGAGACCAAAACTGTATGACTGTCATTGTCTCGAGCAGCATTATTCCAAGGTTGTTCCGGGGAGCCCATTGTCCTACCGTATCAGTCGAGTTACAAACCATTGTGACATTGACGGGGTTGGGGACCCCTGGCGTGACCTGAACTCACCTTGGCGGCCGGGTCGCCGTCGTCACGTTGTCCGCGCACGCTGCCAGTGCGGCTGCGGACGGAGCCGCGGGCCGAGCGCGGGCTGGTCTCGGCCGACGAACGGCTGGCAGCGGCACCAGCGGCCGCCTCATCGCGGCCCTTCTCGCGCGCGAATAGCCGAGAAATGCCGCGGCAGTGGAGCCGCCGCATCAGGCCCAGCTGGGCGGAGGCGCGCGGCTCTCGGCCGTGCTCGCCGGCCAGCCGCGCCGCCTGCAGGCCCAGCGCGCCCACCAGGCACTCGACAACGTGCGCCTGCAGACCGGCCAGCGGCGCGTACAGCTGCGCCGGGCACACGCCGCTGTTGTTGGCGCGGTACACGGACGCGCCCATCTCCACCAGCTCGTACAGGCAGTCTTCGTCCGGCTGCGCGCGGCACACGCAAACATGCAGCGGCGTGTTGCCGTACTCGTCAGTGACGTTCACGTCGGCGCCATAGCCGACCAGCTCGGCCACCGACTCGGCGTCCTCGGCCACGACGGCGGCGAACAGCGGTGCCAGCCGGCGCAGGTAGGCCGGCGAACTGTAGACGGCGCCGAACGTGCCTTGCTCACCGTCCCGTGAACGTAGCGCCGTCAGTGGTGTTGCCAGGCTTTTGTTGACGCGCAAGGGCGCGCGGCCCGGCCGCGCCGCCTCCGCTGCCTCGCCGCTGGCGCGCCGCGACTCGTCTGCAGCCTCGGCGAAGAGCGCACGCGGACTGATGCGCACCACCAGGTCGCGGAGGAAGGAGCTGTTCTGCTGGAGCAGCGCTAGCGCGCGCGGGTGCGGCTCCTTGGCGAGCGGACAGCGCTCGGCCGAGTCGGCGCGCTCCCGGCCCGCCAGGTTGAAGCGCACGCTGGCGGGCGGCCGCATCGCCAGATCGTCGCCCGGTTCCGGCTCCGGCGAGCTGGGCCGCTGCGACTGGCGCGACGCCGGTGCCGGCGGCTCGGGCGCTGGCGGCGGCGCCTCCTCGTCCTGCGAGGCCCACTCGGCGCCGGTGCCCGGCCGCAGCTGGCCCGTGTTCGGGTCGAAGCCGCGGCTCAGCAGCAGGCGCACCACTGAGTGGGCACACGCCTCCACGGCCAGCTGCAGCGGGTGCTGCAGCACCGACGGCAGCCAGCAGGTGTCCTCCTCGGGAACGCTGCGGTGCGGACACGGTCTGTCGGAGACGGCGCCGACGGCTCCGGCAGCGCTCCAATGTCAGTAAAGGGAGCGATGCTTTAGGATTTAGGCCACGCCACCACCATATGCTATCCAAGGCGTTGGGATAGGCAAAGAGTTGTTTGACGCCTTTGCTTCAATACTGACGGTTTGTCAGGCGGAGTATTATAGTGCTTTGTGGCCTATTTCTTTTAAAGGAAAACATTCCGGGGAAGCCAAGACCTCTGTAATCAAAGGGGCATTTGCGCACGTCAACAGGAAATGCACATGTCACAAAAATGCCTTTAGGTACATCGGTTGAGCCAGGACGATGTGATTTGAAATGACTGCCAGCCCGATGAGTCTAAAAAGGTTTCCTATTACCCTCCAAGCGAGTAATTAAGTGAATTTGTACCGCATGCACAGAACATCTCACTTCTACCTATGGGCGAGACGTGCTGAGAACAGCCGGTGCGGCGAAGCTGGTGAAAATCAAATCAAGCAACGGGAAAACGCTAACATTATATTCATATTAATGAAAGCTGGCGTGGCTGCTGGCTTCCGCAGCCATGCTCTACCACTTGCACTGCAGTGCTGGTGCATTGTAGTGCCGCCAGGGCAGACAGGCCCTCATTGCATTAGGGTATTGCGGTACAGTCTATGCACGGCAGTCATTTTGGCAGTAAGGAGCGCAGCAACAATGCCGCCAAATGCTACCTGATACAGTGACTAGGCTTCTTTGAACTATTTAGGTTTGAGTTCGAGAGTCGTTGCTGCTCAACACTAGTCAGGCCACGATTTCTGAAGTGCTGGCTTGAGATGCACTACAGGACATTATCCATTAAAGGAGCAGGTTATTCGTGTACACATGTCATTCTGAGAAAAGCCTTCTAAGCAGAAAACCGCTTGATTATGAAAAAATCAACTGCGTAACTGACCGTTTTCCGTGAACTCAGGCTTAACTGGCAGGTAGGTGCTAAATTTCGTATGATTAGGATATTCAGCTGTGTGCTTTTCTTAAAAGACCTTTGACCAGGTCGGTGCACCATTGTCTGCTCATGGCGAACCGTCTTCTTAAACCAGCCGCCATTGTGATGATGCAAGAATGTTGGCGTGTTTATTCAAAGTCAGGCTTTTACCAAATTTCGTTGATCTTCGGCGACTGTGGTAAAGGGTCATAAGCAACCAACCTGTCATTGCTCCTGCTTTTCGTCTGCTGCACCTGAGAATACCGAGGCCATGTTACAGACAACATAACTTCCTCATTCTATATCAACTTGGCACGCAAATTCGAGCCATTTGCCTTAGATGAGAATCACAACAACAAAAATAACAACAAAGCATGCATGCCAAGTTCCAAGATGCGAGCTGTGAGGCTGGTGAGCGCAGCCGTGTGCCGACCCGCCGCCGGGTATAAATCGCCGCGGGCGGAACAATCTGATCATCGCGACGCCTGGGGGCTTATCGCCGGAAAAACCCGTCCCCGGCTTACTGCATCACCGAAACGCGTCTGAGTGGTCTAATCCGGTCTCGGTGAGAGGTTGGGCCGGACGTATAAATACGGCAAACGGTGCGCCAGGGGTCGTCTCCAGCCTGCCGAGCAGCGGGATGACAGGGAGCCGGCTGGCACGGCTCGCAGCCAGCGGATGGCCGCCTCTTACCGCCGGCAGAGTGCACCTTGTGAGGAGGATGTTGTAACCGATTAGCGCTGACCTCGGCCGGATGGTGCGTGGCTGCTATGGGAGTTTGTTGGAGGTTCTATGATAACGTTTATCGTTCAAGCAAGCGTGCATTATCGCGGACATCCAAGACTGCATGGTGCTTGCAGCGCTGCGAATTGTCTTAAATGAAGCCATGTGTTCAAATATATGGCAATGGACAGGGTTTGCAAGAAACCAAACTAAAACGAATTTGGACGGATGCAAACGATCATGATATGGCTGCACAGAAGGTGCATTTTTCTCGCGCTGGCCGCGAAGAGCTGTCGCCGCTGGTTCCATCCGACCTCTTGTTTGTTTTCAGCTGCCACTGGCGGCTCCTTGCGAGGTGCCGTCGCGGGTCACTCTAGCACAGCGGACCACGGGAAGGTTGGTTGCTGGTCCGGACTCAACCACACCCGCTCGATGGCCTCACCAGGCCGGAGCGGCCGGCAGCCACAAGGCGTCTCGCTGGCGCCGATGTTTGGAAACCGTCACTTGCCAACAGCATAATAAGCTTATCGCTGGAAAGTTACGCGCTTCAACGGAGAATAATGAGGCAAACTCCGAGGGGCACCGGCCTGCTAATGACGGAATTATTCTCGGGACCGTGTCACGTCCGGCGATGTCTCAGTGATGTGAAGCTACCATATCCGCACAGGACACAGGCAGGCCTATAGGCAAGAGAGGTCATGAGTTTGTGTCAGGCCGTTTTTGATACAGCTGCTTCAGCTTTGGTGGACCAGTTATATGGTCGCTTTGCAGCTTGGCGATATTCTTGGCCAGAGAGTGCTGAGACTTGAATTCCACCTTCCCTGAATCGAGCCCACCAAAGCTGGAGAAACTGAATCCAGAACAGCCATACACAAACATTAATATACCCAGCTGCAAAACCTGAACACGCGCCCGGATGGCCGGTTGGATACCCTTCGCTCGGGGGAGAGTCAATTCGACTCCCCCCCCCCCCCCTGTGATCTCAGGAAATAAGCAAGCTAGAGATACCAAATTGACGAGAGTATTGACCTATAGGGGAGCTCACTTAGGTCAAAGTTTCAAGTTCATGGGTCACGACCTTCGTGTCAAATAGGACCAAACAAGGTCAAACTCCAGGTTGGTCTCCAAAGTGCCCCAGAGCCTAGATGTCTGTTCTAAGCCAAAGGTCACATGCTCATTTAAGATCAGTAATGCTTTTTTACCTTTTGAATATCGTGGTGACTAAAATTATACGACACCGCTTTGAGTTTTGCATTTGAATAAGCGACAAAGATCATGCTAGACAGTTTGTTTCTAAAAACAGAATGTTGACCTGGGTCATTTTAGATCAGTGACCTATTCTGGCCTTTAAAAAGTTTATGGAAGATTTCAGATGCGGTTACTGTTATCAATAAATATTAAATTAGAACCAGAAACTACCCAATACAGTAAGCCCTAGAATAATAAAACAGGTTGGTTTCACCCTGGTATGGCCTTCATTCCTGACCCTAGGTCAGTGGAATTTGTTCATTCAAGTGTTGTGTTGCTAAGAAAGCATTCCGGTGATGTATGGCTTCGTCTAACACTCCGTTGTTGCATCAGATCGAAACGATCCCCTAGAAATTGACTTCGCTGAATCCATGGCCTGACTTTGGCCTGACGTAGGTCAACGACCTTACCAGGTGCATCTAAATTTGCTATGCCAAACGATCCGTTATTTGATTGTCTACAGCTAAGCAAAATTTGTCGCGGCGTAGCCACGCTGTTCGTAAACCACTTCGGGAGATAACAGAGGTCTTGAGCTCCTGGCTTCCTGGCATTACTTATTTTTATGCTGATAGTAGCCAACTTTCATACACCATGTCATGCTCACTGAACGCCGATATTGGGCGATCGAAATATATGACGGAAATATTCGACGTTTCATGGCAGCGCTCAGTCTACTCGCGGTCACGGTCACCCGTAAACACGAGCGCGGCCTTAAAACGCCCAGTAGGTTCGCAACACATCCTAACGATTGCTTGATGTCACCATTTTTAATCATCGGCTGCTGGTATGTCGGAGGTTGGTCATTTTCAAGACAAGAACTACGTAACTATATCGTAACAGGGTCGGTCTATCGGTCCTATCAGCCAGACGGTGCTGGAGACGTTTCGCCACGAGCCTTCGTGCTTCAATTACCTTGATAAATTACCAGACTGCACTGTAGTGTGTTTGTGTTCGTGTATGACTTAGAAACAAGCACTGTGGCGAATAATTTGCTGATATTGACCTTCCACATCAGCATTGGCCGTCACGACAAAAGCTGCTTGTAGCTAGACCGTGTACTACTGCAGCAAAAATGCCGTTCATAAACCTAATAATCTAAGGATTACGTGGAAGCCAAGCAAACTCTATCTCAGATCCTGTGGTTTCATCGACCGCATCGCGCCATGCAACACTACAGAACAGCCTCTGAAGCTCTGCGCATAGCGCTTCCAACGCTTTGTGCAGGGCTGCGTGGGCCTCATCTGATCTGGTTCCCCAGAAACCCGATACGCTCTGTTGCAAACGCCACGGCAATCACTCTTGTATCTTGAGCAATGATTTGGAAATTTCAACTTTCCGCCTAAACGCACTTTTTGTGTGACTTTTCCGTTTTTGAACGATTTGACGTGCAGCTTGACTTAATGGGCAAAGCGAGGTGATATGGATCCAACAATTGTTCGGAAATCGTCCTGGTCAGGTGTGTCAAAGTGTGTGTCGCCGGGCTTTTCCGCTAAACTCAGGGGTAGAGCCCCGGGCTCGTAATCAGCGGACCTCAGTTCGCACTGCAACCAATCCAAAGAGTAAGTTCAGGTTCTGCTGCGTACATGGCTGAGAGTCGAGCGCCACCAAGCACTTCCGGGGACCAACTACCACCTGAAAACCACCGGAGAATTCACTGGCTGAAACGCTGTGCACGTCCTAACACATCAGACGAGGACGAGAGCCGGAGGCCGATATTCCGCCATCTTTTTTGTACATGAGAACGCCGCTTGCTGAAACGAGGGACCAAAATTATTCTGCCGTTAGAATTTCAACGCAGTTTAACACCCTGGAAAATGTCAGCCAAGGGCATTTTGATTTCGCTGAAGAACAATCTTATGTGATCTTAACTGATCTTAGGCCGCTCTCCGTGGAGGCAGCTTTGTCGGCGCGGGCGACGTGAAGCGTATAATCTGGCTGCTTTCAACGACGGCATTTTTCCGTCATAAATGCTTTCTGCTCACGATGGTAGGATTTAAATCAGAGCAGAAATATTTTTAAAACAATTCACGATCATTAAATTTCTAGGCCGGAGAAGACGTCTGGGAAGTTGATAAGACTTCACTACGAATCTCTTCAAACCATCCCATTACCACCTAAGGTCATTGTAAACCAATGCTGTTACGAGAGAGTATCGTCCTTCGGGACCCAATTTAGATTCACACGTCAGCATTCATTGGAGACCTGTCCGATTTCAACTGCAAAGTTTTTCAAGTACTTACTCAATCGCTCGTTTTTATACTCTGTGCCGTCATTTTCGACGCGAGTTTGGTTAAGCGCATGTGGTTCCGACAGTAACGGACCAGTATTAAGGTTTGCCTGGCCAGACTAGGCCTGCGTTCGCTTTCATTCGGAACGCAGACCTAGTCAACAGTTCCAGCACACGGCAAGCGCAGCGACCGAACTCGGGTCCCAGCATCGTAAACAGACAAGACAGTCGCAAACGTCAGCGGGTGTTAGCAGGCCAGAGCCTCGTCGCTCGCATTGCGACGAATTAGTGGGGTCATTCAAATTGCTTGGCCAATGGCTAGCCATCAGCAGATTTATGGTTGATGCCATGGCTGAAAGTGAAATTGCGGCACACACAGCCTTGGCCAGATTTTTATAATCGACGTGCAATCAAAATGAATCGCTGAATTTTTGCTTTGTGTTACCCAGGTGTGCGTTTTCTGTACAGCAATAACAAGCCACGCGCATTTCCTGCCGAACGTTTTGTGATAGCGTCCAAAGGCCGCCATCACAAAATCAACGGTGCTATTCTGAATTTCATATAGCCACACCAGTGCACAAAAACAGATCTATTTACTGATACTCTCTGCGTCCCTGCGTTCAAGCTATGGGCACTCACCATCAGTTTCTGCGCGTAGGTGGCTATAATGGTGGCTACCGTGCTGCTGTCATCTTCTTGGATCGCCTGCTCCAATCGACGAGCCGCCCGCCACAGGCAGACGTACCTGCGGAGCGGAGCACATCGTCACTGCAGACAGACACATCTGCGGTACGGAACACATCGTCCCTGCAGACAGACACATCTGCGGTACGGAACACATCGTTCCTGCAGACAGACACATCTGCGGTACGGGGCACATTATCACTGCAGACAGACACATCTGCGGTACGGAGCACATCGTCACTGCAGACAGACACATCTGCGGTACGGAGCACAGACAGACACATCTGCGGAGCGGCGCACATCGTCACTGCAGACAGACACATCTGCGGTACGGAACACATCAACACTACAGACAAACACAACTGAGGAACGGAACACATCATCACAGGCACGTGTATATGTGATTCAAAACCCATGATCATCATAGACAGACATACATAGCTGCGGAGACGAACACATCATCAAATACGGGCACATATATCTAGGGAACGGAACGGATCATGGCAATGGATAGCTTTCCAGGTTTCAATTCGACCAGCTCAAATCAGCTCAGAGCAATATGTGCACGAAGACTTGAGAGAAACTTCACGCCGGCCTGAACTAAACCAGACTCAAACCGACATCCCTACAGTCCACATGGGCGCCGGTTTGTAAGGTTCGTCGCATGTCCGAAGACCTGGGACTTGCATCGCACCGCCTAAGGGAATCAACTGTCACTCATCTCGAATGAAACGGCGTGGCTAGCATGCGAAGCTGGAATGGAGTCACGTGTATTTTGCAGCGTGGGAGGCTATGAAAGAGCGGAACAGCGCCACACGATGTCACTGTTTCTGACAGCGGTTTACCGCTAGCAGTCGTGAATAGTTATGAGCAAGGCTACAGGTCGAGCGAGTCTTATAAGCACAGAGAGAGAGAGAGAGAGAGAGAGAGAGAGAGAGAGAGAGAGAGAGAGAGAGAGAGAGAGAGAGAGAGAGAGAGAGAGAGAGAGAGAGAGAGAGAGAGAGAGAGAGAGAGAGAGAGAGAGAGAGAGAGAGAGATATATATAGAGAGAGAGAGAGGGAGAGATAAAGAGAGAGAGAGGGAGAGAGAGAGAGAGGCAGAGTATACAGCTTGAACCCGTCCCGGCCCTCTAAGTCATCCTTTCTAGCGACTGGCATCATTGCAGCTCCTGATAGCAGCCTCACGGGGCCCCCAGCACCAATGGTATCATGGAGCTCAGGTATTTTTAGGCTGCGCAGCATTAGCTTAATATATTTGAATATGGGCTGCTTGGTCTACCGCGTACCAGATGGGCACCAGTGGACATGGACAGATTATACCTGTCAGATATGTCATGGCTGGTAAAAGGGGCGAAGAAGCTCAACCGGCTATATCAGGAAATAAACAGGCCACTGTTAGGCGGAGATCATCGTTAGAAAGGCTTTTTAAGCTGTAAGATATGTGTCATTCACGCTTAAATCGTATGATTAATAAAAGATCGTATCAAGTCACAGCCGTCAGGGTTTCACCTACCTTGACCTTGGATGACCTGGCCTTGCAAAGGCAGCCAGACCGATAGCAGCGCACTTTTAAGTTATATGGTTAAAAAAGCCGCCTGGAAAGCCTTTTTAAAATGCATTTATTTTCCGTGATGAATTAGCATAGCTTCTTAGTTTTGAGCAAACTGTCACCTCGAATTTTGTTTCCAAGGCGAATTTTAGACGAAGTCTTTGCCACTTTATATCTGGTGTATCCAACAGCAGCTTCGAGTAAAGCTTTGATCCTTGTTAAGCCATCCGACGGAGGTACAGTACCACCGGAAATAGCTGGCGGGGACGAATCGGAGCCAATTGCGATGCCAGGGCGGCACGGCTTAAGACGAGACACGATTAGTCACTGCTCCGGCAGCTGGGGAGGTAAGAGATTGAATCGGTTGGTGAGGACGGGAAAGCTATCGGCTTAGCACGTGGAGTGGGGACGGGAAATGGTTTTCCTTGTTCCGGAAACCAGCTCGGAGGTGGAGTCCTTAAGTGGAATCCGCAAACGCGCAGGGAAGTGGTAGCGACAGCATTGGTATCAGCTAGGGCCTGTTCAGTTCTCTTTTAAAGCTAAAACGCATCGAATGCAAATGCTGGCTAACGCATGGAAAACTATTCTGCAGAACCTGGCTGCATACATCAGCGTCGTCGTTGGCGATTCGCAAACAATATGTGTGGGGCGCAAATGTAACAGCCTGCAGCATCGAGCTGATTTCGTCCATTCTCCTGGAGCGGCCTGTACTTTTTGGAACAGGCACAAGAAAACGCAGAGAAAGGCTTCCTCACAGACCTACACAAGCGAAAGGGGCGTAGTCTTTGCACAAAATGATTGCGGTCCGGGCCCGACTGACCACGTCACGTCTGGGCCACACTTGGCGAGTACCTCCAATGAAACTCGCCATCGGAGGCCTCGTAAGCGCGTCTTTACGAGCCGTTCAGGTGGGAAGAGTGCCGGTGTCGGGGCCGTGGATGGCCGCAGCACTCAAAAGAGAGCCGATGGCCGCCCGGGAGCGCGCGTTTCGCTCATGGCTGGTCAATACGAGCGGGCAGTGAGCCCGGACCAGCGCTGTTCAGTGACGAGCAGCGGCCCGCTCATGGCTGGTCAATGACGAGCGGGCAGTGAGCCCGGACCAGCGCTGTTCAATGACGAGCAGCGGCCCGCTCATGGCTGGTCAATGACGAGCGGGCAGTGAGCCCAGACCAGCGCTGTTCAATGACGAGCAGCAGCCCGCTCATGGCTGGTCAATGACGAGCGGGCAGCGAGCCCAGACCAGCGCTGTTCAATGACGAGCAGCGGCCCCGGCTCGAATTAGGGCTGCGGAGGCGGCGGCAGCGGCGCGCCACCGGAGCCCCTCATCAATCTTGGCGCCGGTACCGGCTGCCGGCGCACAGACGGAGCGCCGCGCTCTCCAGTTTGACAGGGACGGAACGACGGCGCTATTGCAATCTAAGTGGAGGTGATGGGGACAATGCGTCCGACAAACGGTCGGATGTGGGCGCACGCAGGTACAGATACAAGTGCCCATGCACCTATCGCAGCCGTTAGCAACACCACCCATTTTGCAGGGGCTAGCAACACTGTCCATTTTGTAGCTGCCAGTAGCGCTACTCATTTTGTAGCCGCCAGCAACACTACCCATTTTGTAGATGCTAGTAACACTCCATTTTGTGGCTGCTGACAATGCTACCCATTTTGTAAATGCTGTCACCACTACCCATTATGTTGTCTTACCTGTCATACTCAGAAGTCTGTCCGCCGTCCATGTTTTTCTCAGCTCATCTCAACGTGTTCACTGACGTTCCGCATCCTTTCACTGAAACGGGCCAGAGTATGTTTCAATGGAAGCATGGCACACGTTGAGTGCTTACGAGTTTGTGATTGATACAGGTTTCCGCTGGAGGACTGCGCTAGCCGACATCAGTTCAGATATCTGTGCAGTCATACGTATTGGGGTCAGCCGCCCGGGCTGGCACTCGGCGCGCTCGACGCAAGGTAATACAGCGTCCGGGGACGTTAGTGGTTGCGTGGCATTAGGTTCGAAATGTCTATGGCTCTACTCTCACTGCACGAAAGTTTGACTGGCGCCATTGTCTATCCGTGTAGCTTACATGACGTGTTGATAGATAACTGACTTAAATTGTATTACCATGCAATTATAGTATCATGCTAAGACTATAATTCTATTACATTGAATTATTGCCATTATCAGCTTACTGCCCGATCAATGCATAAGCTGACCTCGGAAAAGTTGCATTCTCCCTTAATCTTATGCCGACACAACAGGCAACATCTTGATCACAGCCTGGTAAAATCAACGAGCTGGAAATGTTGAGTGCGAGACCTTTTATCTATTTACTGATGACTCGCTGTGACTTCAAATACTAGGTGTCTACAGCAAAAAGCGTGGGAGGTAAACGAGAGTTGGTGGATGCCATGTTCTGTGTGGGATGATGAGCACACAGGCAAAGTCGAGTACCGCTCACAGCATGTAAAAGTCACATACAGGTTGCAACTAGCCTCATATTAATGAGTGTCAAAGCGCGAAAAATGCGCGCCCGGTATTATCGTGACGCGTAGCGCACTTTCATGCGCCACATTCCCGGTATTATCGTGACGCGTAGCGCACCTTCATGCGCCACATTCCCGGTGTTGTCGTGACGCGTAGCGCACCTTCATGCGCCACATTCCCGGTATTATCGTGACGCGTAGCGCACTTTCATGCGCCACATTCCCGGTGTTGTCGTGACGCGTAGCGCACCTTCATGCGCCACATTCCCGGTGTTGTCGTGACGCGTAGCGCACTTTCATGCGCCACATTCCCGGTGTTGTCGTGACGCGTAGCGCACCTTCATGCGCCACATTCCCGGTATTATCGTGACGCGTAGCGCACTTTCATGCGCCACATTCCCGGTGTTGTCGTGACGCGTAGCGCACCTTCATGCGCCACATTCCCGGTGTTGTCGTGACGCGTAGTGCATTTTGATGCGCCACATTCCTGCCGGATATTATTCGTAGATCATCCCATTTTCGTATGACTTTTTTAACCCTCGCCTTTATTCGCCGTTTTTTTCATAATGCGGACTGATGGAGGGTCGATGTGACCCCCGGCATTTCCAAAGTATGGAAGATAGAACTTAGCAAAAACTAACAGAGAATTGGTCTAAAAAAGATCTTGTGATTTGTAATAAGGTGTGCATTACAATGCCAAAACCAAACCTCAATATGCCAGGCCAAAATCAAATTTTCCGGAAAGTTGTACTTTTTAGGTGTAGGTGTATATGTTCGAGGCCATACCTTGCAGCGACACGAGCATTAAACGGGCGTGTTCTTCGTAGAGTTTTGAGTGCAGGTGTTTTGAGCATATATTTGTGACGCATGCCTATGTAAAAGTTACAATAAATAAGACGGCAGCAATAGCCTACTTTCTCGAAGAAAAACCAGGAGAATGGAGATATAGATGGGTTGACTTTCCGGCAGCATGCCTTTATCGAAACAATAGCAGACGTCTTCTGATATTGATATCTCCATTTACATCTCCATTCTTCTGTTTTTTTTCGAGGATCAAGGCAATTAGCTGCTGTGTTGTCTATGTGAATAATGTTCCTCGCAACTGCGCGGTGAGCGCTATAAAGTAACAACGGCGTCGGCGTCGGCAGGGTGGTCCGTGGAATCGTCGGGTGCCGTCACCGACCGCGCCGGGCCCGTAGAACGCGCCGTAACAATGTCGGTTGTCGAGGGGTCCGTGGAATCATCGGGGGTGCCGTCAGCCTCCGCGCCGGCCGTAGAGCGCCGTAACAATGTCGGTCGTCGCAGGGAGTCCGTGGAATCGTCGGGTGCCGTCAGCCGACCGCCCCGGCCGTAGAGCGCCGTAACAATGTCGGTCGTCGCAGGGGGTCCGTGGAATCGTCGGGTGCCGTCAGCCGACCGCGCCGGCCGTAGAGCGCCGTAACAATGTCGGTTGTCGCAGGGGGTCCGTGGAATCGTCGGCTGCCGTCAGCCGACCGCGCCGGCCGTGGAGCGCCGTGCAATGTTACTCAAAAACCGCAGCTGCTCCGAAGCTAGAAATGCCAGCGACATGTTTTGGTGTCAAAACACGCGCAATAGGAATTCCATAGACTAATGAAAACTTGGGCGCGATTGCACGGCATGCGGGAGAAGTGGTCTCAAAAAACCTTAGGGATGGACCACATCGACCCCTCCCCCTATCAGGGCGAGGGTTAAAAGCAAAAAAATACCATCTATCCCTCACCCTCTCTTATGCACTTTGAAATTGCAATGCATGTCAAGTCAAAATATTGGTATCGAAACCAAATAGGGCCAAGGTATAATTTGTATTTGCAAAGAACAGCATTCGTATGTTGTTTGGTACGAGCGCCGGGTACGTATTAAAACCTAAAATAACGAAACCTCTGTTAACATCAGCTGTAAAACAGGCCTACAGTGGGATGCATGTCACCGAACTGTGCCGTTTTCCTACTTATATAATTAGCGCATCTCATTTGAAAGCAATGTGTAAGTCAACTCGCTCCAAAACGGCAATGAATAACGTAGACAGTGCGCGAACATTTGAGACACGGGGTCATGGCACACATGACCGTTTCACTGATGCTCTGTAACTAACGCTTAATGAATAACGTAGACAGTGCGCGAACATTCGAGACACGGGGTCATGGCACACATGACCGCTTCGCTGATGCTCTGTAACTAACGCTTAATGAATAACGTAGACAGTGCGCGAACATTTGAGACACGGGGTCATGGCACACATGACCGCTTCACTGATGCTCTGTAACTAACGCTTAATGAATAACGTAGACAGTGCGCGAACATTTGAGACACGGGGTCATGGCACACATGACCGCTTCACTGATGCTCTGTAACTAACGCTTAATGAATAACGTAGACAGTGCGCGAACATTTGAGACACGGGGTCATGGCACACATGACCGCTTCACTGATGCTCTGTAACTAACGCTTAATCATAATGCAAGGCTGAGGAATGAGCAAAACGAGGTTCCAACGTTTATCAGCACAAGACAGTTGCGGTAGCAGGTCAGAAGCATCAGAGAGAACCGGTGCGTGGCTCTCCAGCATGGTGTGAGTGGTTCACTCTGCAGAGAAGTTTGGGCAAAAGTGTAGAACAAGTCACCCTCCCGTCAATTCCTCGCCGCCAGTGTTTCTTCTTGCAGAACATTGCAACAACTGAGCGCAGCAATGCGACGATAGTGATCAAATGCAATACGTCACTTCTCATAAAAGTTTAAATGGGTTGGAACAGGCAGCCCGCATTGATGCAGTTTGGCGTGGAAAGCATATGTTATTCGTCTTGGGTTAGCATTAAAGGCTAGTGCAGTTTGCCGGGTCCAAGCAGGAAAGTGATCCCAAGTCCATGGCTTGGAAGCCATGCAGTAGGCCATGGAAGATCACATTTGGAGTATCCCGAGAGGCACGGGCGACTCGAATCATGCTTTAATGTAGCAGCAATATGATGGAATGAAGGAAATGAAGTATTTACGACCGTATGGGAAAGCTGAAAATTGATATCGTTACTCCGCGGTGCCACACTGGAGCGCTATTTGTCGATGGCCCAACTCATCAAAAGCAGATATGCCTTTCATTTCATTTACTTCATGCATTTGCTTATATTCTCCCGAATGAAACGCTATCCCCTCTCTTTCCTCTTCTCCCCTCTCCCCATCCGTTCCTTCTTTTCTCTTTCCCACTCTCTCTCCCCTTCCCCTCTTTTTCCCTTTTTCTCCCTCACTTTCTTTTTCCCTCTCTTTCCCTCACTCTCTCTCCTCTCTCTCTCCTTCTTTCTCCCTCTGTCTTTCTCCTCTCTCTCTCCCCTGTCTCTCCCTCTCTCTCTCTCTCTTTCTCCCTCCCCCCCCCCTCTCTCTCTCTCTCTCTCTCTCTCTCTCTCTATCTCTGTCCGATAGTCAATAAAATACGACTATTCCAAGTGTTGCGCACACAAACACGCTGCGTTGCTCGCGACGAGTTGTTCAGGTGCCGACTCAAAGTGATAAATGAGGTGTCAATACGGAAGAAAAGACTTGAAAACGCCAAAGTGGACAGCACCACAAGCGATGTCCCTTGACCCTTCTTGATCACTCGCCAGTGGGTTATTTCCTCCCTGAATTGGCAAATGGCTCGTCGCGACATAATCATAAAGAAGAGTCGGCTGGCACAAAGCACTATCCTGTAAACTGGCAGCATTTAATGCAAGATTTCCGGACTGTGCAACGGTTCTTCCCGTTTTAGCCTTGCTGCTTTGCTTTTTAGTATGCAGCAGTAACAAATGCCGTAAGTTTGGGTTTTCTCACAAGTTCGTTTGTTTTCCTTGCGCAAAGTTCTGCCATTACCAGTATGAAGTACAACTTAACAGCTATGACAAAGTTATAGCTACTCTAATCTACACCTGGCAAAACATGAACCTGCTCCCTTCGTGCATAATAAGGACAGCGCAGCCAATAATGACCGAGGAAGCATCTGAAGCGCACAGGCCTACAGTTCTGTAACCACACCAGCTTTTTACAGCTAGACAGCCACCAAGCGAAGCATGAAAGGGAGTGGTTCATCCAACGCTGGGCGGCGTGGCAGGTGGGCAGGAATGCCCCCAAAAGTGCAACGGCCAAGCTCTATGTGAAAGTTGATCTGTTTTGCCTACGTCGTAGTAGGGCAGGCATTCAACTTTCATATAAGTGGGAGGATTTTGCCCCCACCCCCACCCCCACCCCAGGTTTATACATGTTTATCGTATTAGTATCTTTTGCTGTCATCAATGATAAACAACTGAACATAACTTTGTGATTCG